ATAAATAAATAAATAAATAAATAAAATCGTAAAAAAAAATATTACTCCTTGCTTATGCAGTTCAGAACTCAGGGTTAATCTTACAAGGTTTTCCACAAAAAAGCATCTCTTTTCTATGATGCTTAGGTCCAGACAGGGCAAAATTGAATCAACATCACTATAAATCAGCTCTGACCAAAGAGACCCTTAGTTGCCATTACTTGATTAAGAATTTGCCTATAGGTTCTGGAGCCTGGTCTTCTCATTCTGGAGAAAGAATGGCTAAAGAGCAACGCAAGCAAATGCCATCTCAAATCATCCCTTTCAGAAACTCTCTGCTCCAGTAACAACTGCAGGAAGAATGGAGAAGGGGCAAGCACATGCATAGTGTATGGCTACACATTTCTACCTTTCCTCTTGAACTACAACTCAACTCCTGCTACAAATAAATCCACTTTCTGCCTGCAGCGCGTGGGTAACATGACCAGACCCTCCGCAAATAGCTCAGCAGCCACACCAATGTTACACGCATGTGGAAGGGTAAAAAGGAGCTTGCCATAAATTTTATTTTTACTGAACCAGCTAAAAGTCAACTTGCATTTCCATCTACTCCTCAGGGAGAACAATGGATCTGACTCAAACTCCAGCCAGGCTTAATAAAAGGATTACTTGGGAGCAGAATTCACCATCTCCTCCCAAACTTACCAATTCCGTATCCCTGTTCACACTTATACTCCACAAAATTCAGCTCCGAAGGGGGTGGTGGGCACTCCCCTTGCAGGTTCTCACACAACTTGAACTCCTCAGTCCACAGTCCCTCCTTAGTGCAGAGGATGGGACGCTAAAATATCAAAAGTAAACATTTCCATTCTTGTTTTGTTAACTTCATTTAGACCAGGGAAAAAAGTGGTCTGATGAAAATGGTAGTGTTCTCCAACTTTTAGAACCTGGACTAAAAGATACTATTGAAATAATAAACCATGTTGTTACTGACCAAAAAATAAAAATAAAAAATAAGAAAAGTCAAGACAATTTTTTGCTATTTGGATGTGAAGAAACCATGGACAATTTTGTCATTAATGAAATTTATTAACAATGTGTTTTCCTCTGTATATAAGGATTCAGTGAGCTGTTAACTGTAGCCCACATATTCAGAGATATTTTTGGAATTTTTTTCACAGATGGTGTTGTTTTGCATGGATTCATCCATACTATCACACAAACGCTGCTTGTAGCAAATGTCAGATTTTTTTTCAAGAGGAGTGTGATCCAGTGAAACCAATTCATAATTTTTCCAAAGGTATTTTTGCCTTTCTGCTTGAATGGACACATCGTAGTTTCTTTTGATCTCACCAAAGTTTTATTTCCTTTCTCCATATGTATGCTGGTTTGTGTGACTCTTGGCTCCACACCCCCAATAATCACAAAGTATACTATATGCAGATCACAGAGAAAATAGCACTAACTCACAAAACCCAAGAAAGCAAGATTTTAGAATTGTAGATAAAACTCTCCCTTCATCCAGGGCCAACTCCTTGAGGCCTTAAACAATCAGTGAAAACGGATGTGTCTGATTTCTCAGGAGTCTCATTTCATGGCATATTCTTTTCACATCTGTCCAGCAGTACTTACCTTGGAGTGCTGGACACTGAGACAGACATGTGCCAGGAGAGCAGTCAAGGTCATTGATCTCTGCCTAGGAAGTCTGCTTAACTTCCTGTCTCATGTGTGTATGTGTGTGGTACTTGAAAAGAGTCAAAACTAAAACTGATTTTCATCACATAACCACGATAAGACTGTGGTTTTCATTTGAGACCTCTTGTGCCAAAATCCTAGGAAGAATGGTAGTCAGATAGTGCTTTCAGCTTTGCCTTTGCTGAGAAATTTGTGTTTCTGTTCAGAACTCTGTTCTATTGAAAAATATGATACCAGCTTTCAGAGCCAGGTTAGGTCAGTGGCCATACATGGGAGGAAATCACATTGCCAAAGCAAAAACCCAGCATTTTTTGGAATTTACCCAGGTACCCAAACTGTCAGGTTTTTCCTTTTATCCAAGAGGAAGTTCTAAACTCAGGAGAAACTATTCCAAAAACGTGGTTATCTTCTGAATTTTCTATCGAATAATATCAACACTGCTGCTTAGAATCCCAACTTAGTAAGGCCCTGCCTACTGGGATTCACTTAGATCTTTCCCAGTCAACATTCTTGGATTGGTCATCAAGATTAGAGCAGAGCCTGATCCAAACCCAAGTCATCTTACCCTTCCACTTTCCTGGTTACAGTTGAGCATACACTGGCTGTTGAGCTCAAAGCCATTGGTACATTCATACATGCCTTCAAAGACAGGAGAAGGGGGCTCACACACCACTGGGATGCAGCTGCCTTGCTCCCAGATTCCACCCTCCAGGCACTGTATCTTCAGGAAGTTGCTGATGAGACATGAAACAAAATAGCCCATTAGACTCCCTCAAGGAGGTCATGGTAGAAGTCTAGGTTCTCAGTAATATGGGATAAGGATTAGCAAATAGGCAGGAGCAGTTGGTTCTTGTTAACTAAAGGTCCTACCTCACCAGTCTAATTTCTAAGTCATGGAAGTAAAAATAGTAGTGGACACTTAGCAGTGATAACAACAGCTATTGTATGGTATAGGCATACCTTGGAGATATTGCAGGTTCAGTTCCAGACCACTGCAATGGGAGATCTCGCAATAAAGCGAGTCAAATGAATTTTTTGGTCTCCAGTGCATATAAAACTTATGTTTAAACTATACTGTAGTCTATTAAGTGTGCAATAGCATTATGTCTGAAACAAACAATGAAAGCTTAATCCTGTCTAGATTTTGATTTAAAGCAAGAGACACGTGACTCTTTTACTCAAACACTTAGAGAACATTGTAGTATTATTAATTGGCCTAATTCCAGTTTTGTTGTTTCTTGGGGAATATAGAGGCCCAAGGAGAGGGAGAGGGATGGGGGAACAGCCAGTCAGTGAAGCAGTCAGAATACACACAACGTTTATCGATTAAGTTTGCTCTCATATGGATATGGTTCATGGTGCCCCAAAACAATTACAATAATAACATCAGAGATCGCTGATCACAAATTACCATAACAAATACAATAATAATGAAGCAGTCTGAGATATTGCGAGAATTACCAAAACATGGCACAGAGACATGAGGTGAGTAAGTGCTGTTGGAAAAACAATACCGACAGACTTGCTCAGTGCAGGATTGCCACAGACCTTTGATTTGTAAAAAAAAAACAAAAAAACCAAAACCCCAAAACTGCAATATCTTCAAAGCACAATAAAGCAAAACACAATAAAACAAGGTATGCCTGTAATATTTGATATAAATCTCTCAAGAGAGCTTGATAAATATCAGTGCAGGGTCTAGATTGTTTACAGCTGGGTTTTATTTAAGCTTTTCATCTCGGAGAAGCCTCACACCTAAGTGCACTGGGAAATGCCAGGTGGGATGAAGGAAAGAAAAAAGTTATCACACACTCAGGGGACTACCCAGAAGTGATGTGGGGATCATCAATGTTCATATGGTAATATAATTGATGAAGTTGCCAATATATCTTCGTTCTCCAGAGAGGGGAGAAGATACAGCATATAGATTTTCTTTTAAAACAGAAACTCTTAGCCTGAACTTCAGAAGGGCAAGGACCTTTCTAAAGATTACTATGGCCATTTTGTTTGTTCACAAGTCCATCTTTTCCTTGGAAAGCACTCATAGGTTCTCAAAGTAGGCATGACTCAACACTGTCCTGAAGGAATTGCTCTTCCTTCTCATGCACGAACATGGCCTCCAACCAGAGAAACTGCTTTGAGGTAGACAGAAGTAGACAGTGAGGTAGACTCACTGTCAATTTGAAGGTGCTTTCCATGTTGCTGTTTTAATGCATCCACTTCTGATTCAGAGCAATCCTGGTTATGAGCTTTGATTCTGAAACAGAAGTAATTCCGTGGCCATGGACTCAACCATATGGTGGCCTTAAATTATTATTTTCCAGGGCCATGATGCTCTTTTTAAATTTAAATATGCCCACAACTTTTAATGACTGTCACATTATTATACAAGGCCTCCTGTGTACTTCTCCAGTATTCTAACGTTACACTAATAAAATATTTATCACATTGTTTTATAAACATGCACATGTCTCTCTTTTCCACTAAGGTGAAAACTTCCTGAAGGCTAGGATTGTGTCTTATTCTTGTTTTTAATTCCTCATAATAATTCCTAAATAATATCTGGCTTACATTAGGCATTAGTTAAGTATCTTTCAGGTTGAATAATTTAACTAAAATTCACAGTGTGTTAGGCATATTGCAGAGCACATTACACATGGTAACAAACTGATATTTCCTGATGAAATAGTATTATTATTCCTATTTCAAAGATAAAGAAATATACTCAGAAATATGAAATAATTTGCCCTAGATCTTATAGCACAGAATGCATTTATTTGATTTCAAATAATTTAAATAGGGGCGCCTGGGTGGCTCAGTCAGTAAAACACCTCCCTTTGGCTGAGGTCATGATCTCAGAGTCCTGGGATCAAGCCCTGTGTCGGGTTCCCTGCTCAGCGGGGAGTCTGCTTCTCCTCTCCTGCTCCTGCTTGTGCTCTCTCTCTCTCAAATAAATAAATATTTTTAAATCAAATAATTTAAATAAATTTTAATAGTTTAACATAATTTGAACAGTCTCCATTTAGAAATAAGTGAAGGAATGTTTGTTAGTTTTTTATTGAGGCAAAATTATTATATAACATTAGTTTCAGATATGCAACATGATAATTTGATATTTATATACACTACAAAGTGATCACCACAATAAGTCTAGTTACCATTTTTCAGCACACAACTGACCTCCTTCACCCATTTCATCTATTCCCACCTCCTTTCCCCTCTGATAACCATCCACCTATTCTCTGTATCCATGAGTTTTGTTTTATTTGTTCATTTGTTCTGGGTTTTCTAATTCCATGTATAAGTAAAATATATGGCATTTGTCTTTCCCTGACTTACTTCGCTTAGCTTAATATCCTTAAGATCTATCCATGTTGTCACAAATGGCAAGATTTCCTTCTTTTAATGGCTGAGTAGTATTCCACCATGTATATACACTACATTTTCTTTATCCATTCATCCACTGATAGGCACTTGGTTGTTTCTATATCTTGGCTATTGTAAATAATGGTGCAATGAACACAGGAATGCATATATCCTTTCAAATTAGTGTTTTTATTTTCATTTTTTTGGATAAATACCTAGAAATGGAATAACTGGATCATATTGTAGTTCTATTCTTGATTTTTTGAGGATCCTCCATACTGTTTTCCATGGTGACTACACTAATTTACATTCACAACAATATTTTCTCCACATCCTCTTCAACACTTGTTATTTCTTGTCTTTTTGATAATAGCCATTCTAACAGGTTTGAAAGGATATCTCCCTGTCGTTTGGATTTGCATTTACCTGATAATTAGTGATTTTGAACATCTTTTCATGTGTCTGTTGGCCATCTGTATGTCTTCTTTGGAAAAATGTCTATTTAGATCCTCTGCCCATTTTTTAATTTTTTTTTTTTTTGCTATTGAGTTCAGTTTTTTATCTATTTTGGATAGTAACCCCTTATTTGTTATATGATGTGCAAACATTTTCTTCCGTTCAGTAGGTTGCCTTTTCATTTTGTTGATGGTTTCCTTTGCTGTGAAGCTTTTTAGTTTAATGTAGTCCCACTTGTTAATTTTTGTTTTTGTTGCCTTCAATTTTGGAATCAAATCCAAAAATTCAATGCCAAGACCAATGCTGAAGAGTTTACCTTCTATGTTTTCTTCTAAGAGTTTTGTTGTTTCAGGCCTTACATTCATGTCTTTGATCCATTGGGGGTCAATTTTTGTGTAGAGTGTAAGACAATGTAGGGTCTAGTTTCATTGTTTTATATGTGGCTGACCAGTTTTTCCCAACACCATTTATGGAAGAGACTGCCTTTCTCCATTGAATATTCTTGGCTCCTTTGTTGTAAATTAACTGTCCATATATGTGTGGGTTTATTGCTGGACTCTCTATTCTATTTCATTGATCGACATGTCTGTTATAACAACACCATATTGTTTTGATTATTATAGCTTTGTAGTATAGTTTGAAATCAGGGAGCATGATACCTCCAGCTTTGCTCTTCTTTCTCAAGATTACTTCAGCTACTCAGAGTCTTTGGCCCCTACAAATTTTATATCTGTTTGTTCTAGTTCTGTGAAAAACACCATTGGAATTTTAATAGGGATTGCAGTGAATCTGTAGATTGCTTTGGGTAGTATGGATATTTTAACAATATTAATTCTTCCAATCCAGGAGTATGGAATATCTTTCCATTTATTTTTGTCTTCTTCAATTCCTTTCATCAATGTCTTTGAGTTTTCAGTATACAGGTGTTTTACCTCCTTGGTTAAATTTATTCCTAGGCATTTTATTCCTTTTGATGCAATTGTACATGGGGTTGTTTTCTTAATTTCTGTAGTAGTTTGTTATTAATATATAGAAACAATTTTACTGAATTCACTTGTTAGTTCTTCACTGAACTAATAAATAAAATTTTACTGAATTCATTTATTAGTTCTAACGATTTTTTTTGTGGAATCTTTAGGGTTTTATCTATACAGTATCATATCATCTGCAGATTGTGACAGTGTTACTTTCTTTCCAATTTAGATGTCTTTTATTTCTCTTTCTTGCCTAATTGCTGTGGCTAGGACTTCCAATACTATGTTGAATAAAAGCAGCAAGAGTGGGCATCTTTGTCATGTTCCTAATCTTAGAGGAAAAGCTTTCAGCTTTTCACTGTTTAGTTTGATGTTAAACAGTTATTGAGATTCATACTTTTATTCCCAGGAATATTTTAGGGTAGAAATCTGATTTTGTGACTGGAATTCTTAAGCATCATGGTTTATGTGAACATATATCTACTATCTGTTAATAATAAATACTATTTTTGAGTTATATTTCAGGTGTTTGGCAAAATACCTATATACATTATTTCATTGAATCCTCCAAATGGCAGTTAAGGTAAATATATTATTATCCACATACAGAAGGAACTGAGTGTGAGAGAGATTTAAAGCTAGCTCAAAGATCCACAGTAAAAGGTATATTAGGACCTAGACCTAGGTGACTAGCTGCCAAAGCCTGTGGTCATTCCACTGTGTCTGGTTTAACTGTTCCTTTTATGTTCTACAGCTCACTTTGAATATTAATAGCATCTCTATCCTATTCAATATCCCAGATGTCCTTTATCCTGATACCACATTTAGAAGTGTGGCAAAAAAAAAAAAGAAGATTCATTTTAAGTTTATGTATTGAGTAATAAATTACATATAGAGTATTACACAAATCTTAGTACACAGATCAAAGAATTTTTACA